TTCTACCTATCACAGGCAAGATACAGCGACCTTAAAGATCATTGTGGCTTGCCTGAGGATTAGGAAGCAAAGCAAGATAGTGTCGGCCAAGACTAGAAGATGATGGCTTCTTATTGGCCAACTCACCCCCCTAGAAGAATCTCTCAGTGCCGGAACTCCCAAGATGGTAACATTTCTTAAACCAGACTGTCGTGTTACCATCCTTATTACAACTGCATCTGCAGGTCTCAAAGATTATCCTCCGCATATCGAGAAGATTTTTTTTTCTGACAAAGCTTGAAGATGCGGTAGGAGAGGGGAGAGGTTCTAGACACATTAAGAAGCAACCTCATCGGTCTTGTGCCGAACGTATGCAGTCGAACTGCATCGCATTAAGCGCGTCGCCGTAATAGCTTCATAAACTATAAGCGAGTTGTCACTACAAAATATGACGTCTTGAGAGTTGATAATATGTAGTATTGAAATAGGTAAGATAATTAGTCAAGTTAGTTCAGTCACAGGGTCAATGTTCTAGAAATGAGTATTCGGCCAATTAGTTGCAGGAGGTAGGGCTATGCTATTATTGCAGGGCCGTAGAATTGGAAAGAGATATTTGATCGATGATGTCTATCATCGTGCATTTAAATGCATTCAAATTTCTTTAAGATTTTGGGAATTTCTTATCATTATCTATTATCTACGGCGCTATCTGCGGTTGTGCAGCAATTGTTCTGCAATGCAAATCCGCACGGACCATTTACCTATAAGTTAGATACCCTTGTAAAGCCGCTAGTGATCTGCACCCTTACGTCGTTAAACCACACCTGCCACACTAAAGCACTGGCCAAGCACTAAAATAGAAATCCTAGTAAACTGGAGATCACTCGAAAAAATGTCGATCTCTTTTCAAAACCCCTCCCCCTCGAATACCCAAATACATTTCCAAGACTTCCATTTCCCCCCCTCCCCCACCTTGAACCCACCCTGCCACCTCCCACCTCCCACGAGCAGCACGAGAAGAAAGATATTATGTACCTACCTATGCAGTAAAATCATCTGACCAGTAATAAGAGACACCGATCCAATTCATCTAACTCTCAAACCCATATCCGATACTGGATTGGAACCCTGACGGCCAAACGGATGACCTGCCATGGACTTGCTCTTGGACTGCCTATAGAATACTATGGCCCGCCTTGCCTCGTAGGCTGGCGCTTCAACATTCCAACCAATGTCGCATCTAGTCGTTTCGCACAACCATACGCCATACGCCATACGCCAATTCGACACTCACCGCCTCGCCGTTCCCTCGGTCGAGAACAAAACTTTCACCCAGCTCGCAACCTTGCATAATCCATGTCCTGTACGTGCCATTCACTGCATTCCGCCACCCCTACGCGCCCTCCTTATGCAGCACGACGGGATCAATATGCCACAGACTCGACAAGAGAGATCGATACACACCCGTGTTCCGTCTATTTCTCTCGTCTATATCTCCCTCTTCGCCGTATCGCTGCAGGTATATATCTTGCGGTGAAGAGGATATTTACTAATACTTTAAATTACCTACCATTGATGTTGGTAAGCTGTGTGTCGCATTGCAGAGAAGCATCACTTTATAGAATATCACTATACCTTCTCATATCCCTGTCGTAGCGATAGGCGATAGTCCCTCCAATCCCTTCTTACATATCGGCTAATGAGGCAAGCCGCAAAAAAGCCATGGCAAGTGAGGGGCGACAAGGATTTGAACTCGGATCTGAACTTCGATCGCGTGGGGAATCGTCTGACCACTCACTGACCGGCACTAACATGCACGGCTGACCACGGTCATGGGTTTGTATACGCAGCCTCGACTAAACTTCATCTACAAATCAATCGTGATACGGAAGACATGCGGTGCTATGGAAACACACAACTCCGTGGTCTGTTAGCTGTTATACGACATGATGATTGCTACTAAGTTCAACGATTTTCAACGGCTCTGGTAAACGCTAAAGATTTTAAACAATTTCCTCTTCTTAGTCGATTTTCTCTCTTATTAGTCTTTTGTTCTAGTTTGCCCTAATGCGCTCTAAGATAACTCATAATCTTGTTATGGTCTAATTAGACCCGAGTTAAAATATATCAAGTTAACTACCTAGTTGAAGTATACAACTTCAAGTTTCGTATGTTAGAGCCGGATAGTTTTCTATCAAGATAAGTGGATTTCTTATTACTCCGAAGACAATGCTTGAAACATTTAGATCTGACACAAGTTAATTGCTGCGGACCGAAGCGTGGCGTCCCAGCGGCGGTCGTCTACCGTTAGACAATTCGCACGAAGCCGCTGTCAGCAAGCGGCCGCGCAAGGATACTGTACAACAACCCCTTAAATTATTCACACTAGCAACCTTTTGCTGTAGGTTACCGCCTTGGTAAGGAACATGTCGATTATGATAGGACCGGTCAACGGCGAAGTATGACTTGTCAAATCACAAAAGACATTTTACTGGATTTTACCCAAATATCTCGGCTCTTTGTGATGCTCGTATTATAGCCCGCAGGGACTAGTGTACGATGCTGGCGCGTGATCTCGGTACAATTATAGTGGAACAAGCATGATAGAAGTCATCGGCGATCGCCTTGTCGAAGAACGTTTTGGGGGGTTTAGTGACACAAGATTGGTTGGACTTATCCGTATTGAAGAAATCGTCGACGTTTTGGTATTACAGGCGTCTATACCTTATGTACAGAAACGTCTATATGACAGATGCCATGGACATTATGTACTACCTTAGGTAGTAGCATAGTAGCAGTTCTTAGGCGATCAGAGCTCCCTGATATGTCCATGCCCATGTCCATGTTTCGACTCCACATACACGTGCTTTTCAAGGTTGTTTTCAGATCGACACCAGTATCACTATCCCCAGTGTCGGGTAGCTGGTTTTTACCGGAGTTGGAGCAGCCGACGAGTAGAGCTTCGACCGTTCCGCTGTGGTGGTTACTCCTGAGGCCACGCAGGTATGCACGCACTTTGTGCTTCCGGCGAAACTTGACCATTATCTGATAACGGTAAGCCTTGTTTGCCGTCACTGCCGGGCGACGAGTCAGCTGGGCGATCTTTCCCCCCCCTGTACCACGGCGGGCGGGCTGGGCGCAGATGCCAAGCTGCCGTGAAGCTGGACCAAGGACGGGATGTTTGCGCCACACCCCGAATTGACCAACGGAAACGGCCGTTTGTGAAATGGATCGGGCTGTCCGTCGGCATGGAATCGTGATTCAATACGGACCTAGCTCCGGTTGGGGCAGTGCTATGCATGGCTATATTTGCTGATATGAACTTATCTTTACTTTGGTAGTGTGCTCTATGAGCCGTTGATAGCCCTAGGGTATGCTATTAATAACTACAGGTTTAGATGTCATATATAGGAAGTATGCCACGGAAAACATGCTGGGAATATCACGTCATATATTAGCAAGATGTCGAGCCGGCCGTTCATTTGGCCTCGTGTAGGCGTGTTTACTAGTCTAATCATCTTTCGGCAGGGCACTGATTCAGACGGTGTTTATTCAAAGTATGGCCCGACAATGCGGAAGATATTGGTCCATGACGGCGATAAGTTTAGATAGGTACTGTAGTAACATGTACTTAGGAGAAATCCCAAATCCTGACTGCCCTAATGTTGAAGTGATTGTAGAGCTCTAGCTATGTACTTACTATATACCTCATTAAATACTCAGGTAGTTACGCAGAATGTGCTGTTCTAAGTATGGTAACCAATGTAAAGCTGGTAAAAACAAGTAATTTCGGGTAACTCTTCACGTGTAAGTCTTAGGTATTTGGTGATAACGATCTTACATGAAGATTTGTAAATTGAATAGTGTAAAGTAAGTGTTACGAATTAAAATGCAAAGTCTTCTATTGAATGATAGAAAGGATGTTTATAGTTCCATTATCAAAGTTATATAGGCAGGCTCATCTATACCTCTGCTGTTGACCTCTTACCTCTTTACTCTATAATCATATGAAGTAGGTATATAATACGCCAAGAACGAACGCCTTGGATCCAAGCCCTGGGTACCTACCTACATATCGATTAACAGGTAATTAGTAGTGATGATAAGGCTAGAAGATCAAAGGCTTTGAGGATAACGAAGTAGGTAATAGCAAGCTCTGCTCCACATAGCTCGTTGAACACTAATAAGTAGTGTCCTAGTGTCTAGATTATATCTCATCCTCTCCCCCAAGAACCCGCCCAGCGCAGACATTAGGTGCTTTCGGTTGGTAGTCCGATAGCGGTGCATCATCTGAGCTTCGTGCCGAGAGAATGTCTCAAGTACGCGGCTGCTCAGCTAGACAGTCAAACAAGGACCAATGAAGATTCATCCTATCCTCGTGTCGAGTATTCTGATATGTGAGTCAGCAATTGCTTTTTTTCCAGTGATGAGTTTAGATGTCTCGGGAGCAATATGTTTCTCCCTTTTAACTTAGAGCCTCGGCTTTTGAGACATGTTTAAGAGGAAATGTCTTCGAACTTTGCATACTTTTAAAACAAAGACTTCCATCTTATAATCGCCAAAATAAAGAAGAATCGAAAAATATGACGAGAGGGAGATTACATATATTTGTTTGTTTATACGTTGGGCGCCTTGTGACAGTATATTATACATATCGGTATGGGAGTTCTTGTTTCGATAGACGAAGTCAACTTAAATCGACTCCACCTGATCCCCATCCCGGAATCATCCGGCTTTCATCATCTCTTAGATATACTGGACTTAGTAACTTTCCAAGACGTCGAACAAGGCTGCACAACCCACGGGGCATACGTACTCCCAAGTCTCGAGGGCGATATCCCATTGGGTACATCAGCTAGTTACTTAGATAGGCAATCTATTCGAACCTATCGAGCTTGAAGCTCCCACTTTCTGTGCGATGCTCTAACAGGTATAAATGCACTCAGATAGATCATCCTAATCGTACAATGTCGTATCCCACAACTTATGACGTGTTATTACCTTGACAAGGCAAGGCGAGATTATTTATCAATCTTCACGATCCTATCTAAAGCTCGTCCCTCCTCTAGTACATATGCTGACGTGATATCGAGTTTGTATTTAACCCCATTGATCATAATTGGGGCAAATCCCTCCCCTGTTAATCCGCGGCGGAAGTTCTTGAAGAGCATCGAGAAGACCTGTTTTCCGTGCCTGAACGGTGCAGTCATTAGGTGGTTCATCTCGTATTCGCGCTCCTGCTTACGCCGGACCTCGTCCTGCTTCTTCATAAGCATCTTCTCGTAGTCCGAAGGGGGTGCTTTGCGATTATACAGCGGCGCCTTCATGACCACGTCATTTGGATCAGCTTGTATGCGACGTAGCGGTACACCTGGGAAGGGCACAGTGCGTCGAGCTTCGATTTCAAGCCGCACTGGTAGATTTTCCGGTGTAGCCGTCTTCGCGGCTGGGTTTAGCGCCTTGACTGGCCGGGCTGGTAGTACCTTGATAGAACGTATCATACCTGCGGGCATCAGTGCAAACCTGGTCCCGCAAGCGGCTAGAAGTAAGCCCACCATACCAAACCCAATACTAACGATCCAATGGAGTCCTTCCGGTAGATTATAGACGTTTACAACGATGTTGATAGCGGCGGCTCCTATGAAAAAGAGACCAGCCGTGTAACTCGAGAATAGGAAGACTCCCTGGGGAGCTGCTTCGTATAAGATCGTCGGAGAAGACTTGTCTGCGAGCTTCTGCGCAAAACTTAGTATTGGAGATGGTACGCTCTTTGCTGGAGATAAGACTGTAGGTTTTAAAGGGATTGTTGGTTTTTGCTTTGGAGATGCGAATCTAAGTCCCGTCGTTGCGAACGATCGACTGCACGTTCGAGCGGAAGTTGGCTGGAGCCATGACGGGACTCTGGTGATTCGGATAGATGATCTGAGAGAGTTATGGAGTATAAATATAGGGCGGGTACACCCCCGGCAAGAGGATATAGGTGTCGTCATCTGCGTATTGCGTATTATAAGCTAAATAATCCAATTGACATGACCAGGTAAAGAATGACAATATGGTAGTCATATAATTTCAACTTAGATGGTGGGATGATGGGTTATAGATTTGATAAAGCTTTAATGGAGCTGAATTTCTTAATTATTCTTTATCGATACGGCAAGGTGAATATAATCTCAAGTACCGAAGTACACATGTACCTATGTATCAACCCCTGCCACTAAGGCTTAATTAGTGGGTCCCTTCCATATGGAACCTCACCTCAATGTCGGGAGCCCTACAGGGTTCTAGGGGACAAGGAAACGGTAAAACTTTATAGCGTCCCTTCCAATTCCGATAATTATTCGGTTGAGGCCGGAGAATCCCCAACAAGCTCAACCGTAGCATTTATTCATAAGCTCCGAATCGGGATCCCTTTTTAACGAGAGAAGAAGAAGAAAAAAAAAAAAGGCTCAATTGAGCTTCACCTTTTCTTCTTTAGAAGCCGACAATGGCATCTTTTGCGACAGCAACCCGCCTAACAACACGGCTTATAAGCCGACGGGTCGCCCAAGATGTCGCAAGTCGAGGTATTTTAATCCGTTAGAAGCTCTCGCGCGCGTGTATAGCTAATTAGGTCCATATAGGCTTTCGCACCTCCGCTGCCTCGCTCGCGGCACAAAACTTCACCATGCCGGCTCTATCGCCAACTATGACGGAAGGCAATATCGCAAACTGGAAACTCAAGGAGGGCGATTCCTTTTCCGCTGGCGATGTCTTACTCGAGATCGAAACAGACAAGGCGACCATGGATGTTGAAGCGCAAGACGATGGAATCCTCGTAAAAATCACTCAGGGAGATGGAAGTAAGAACATTCAGGTTGGCAGCCGAATTGGTGTTGTTGCAGAGTCCGGCGACGACATTAATTCACTCGAGATTCCTGCCGACGAACAGCCTGCGCAGAAGGAAGCCAAGAAAGAGGAACCGGAGCGCAAGCAAGAGTCTCAGAGCGCTGCTCCAGAAAAAAGGTCTAGTGGACCGAAGAGGACCGGCGAGAAGGCACCGCCCCAGAAATACCCTCTTTATCCATCAGTCGAGCACCTAGTAAAGGAGCACAAGCTGGACGAGTCTGCTATTAGCGAGATAACGCCAACGGGCCCTGCTGGACGCTTGCTCAAGGGTGATGTCCTCGCATATCTCGGTAGCGCACCTTCTAGTAGACCTGGAGAGATTAAAGCACGATTTGACCACAATTCACACCTTGACCTCTCCAACATCAAGATTGCTGCTCCTAAGGAGGCCCCGAAGAAGGAAGAAAATATTGTATCAGAGGCCCCCGTTCGCAAGGTCTCAATAGTAACACTACCGATATCGCTTGCGACAGTGATAGAGGTCCAGAAGAAGATCGAGGACACTATCGGCACATTCATACCGTTATCAACATTTGTAGCGAGGGCTACGGAAGTGGCTAATGATGAGCTGCCCTTGCCATCAAATTATAAGCCAACAGCCGACGAATTGTTTAACCAAGTTCTAGGATTAGACAAGGCTAGCCCGAAGGGTTCCCGCGGCCATTATATTCCTCAAATTTCCGCTCTTCCTTCGCCGTCCTTCACCGGCGTTGCACCTAAGCCCAAAAAGCAAGTCGACATCATCGACTTCTTAGCAGGCTCAGCGAAGGCGTCTGCGCCAAAACCACGAAAGACTAGCTCGCAAGCCGGAATATCCACCGGTACCAATATATTTGGTCTCTCTGTACCAGAGGCTGAGGAGAAGAGAGCCAAGGAATTCCTACAAAGAGTTAAGACGGTGCTAGAAGTGGAGCCAGGCAGACTTGTTTTATGAATAGAAAAGCTCGGAGCAGGAGACACTGTAACTATAAAGCCTGTAATGGTGGCGCGGAAGCACTGATAGACTATATTATTAGCATTTGTTTGTTCATTGTGCCTTCAGTAACGCCTAACTTGTAAGTATTACGAATATCCTAACATATGGAACTCATTATTTTTCCAACTAGTAGGCTATTATTCATCGTGTAACATGATATCTGAAGATATAATAACTTCCATTAGCAACCCAGGCAATTTCTTAATTATGAAATCTTATTTTAACGGGTTATAGATAACATATCCTCGTGGATTTTCGAATTAGTGAGCCCACCTATCTGATACCGCTTGAACTATATATACAATTGAAGTTTTTATACTCCTTTCCCCGGTCCTCATCCATGGCTGAGTTACTTAGATACGCATATTTCGGTATAAGAATGCTTTCTTATACGGAGCCGACCTTCTGCTTAACGAAGGCGAGAGCCTGTTGGCCGTAAATCTGGACATATTGCTGGTGGTGCTGCGCGTTGTTGCCGTTAGAGCAGTATGGGTCCTCGGCGTCGCAGTACGACTTGATCCTATCCGCGTAGGCAGGACACTGGTAACCCGAGGGCCGAGCGGCGAACTGGATAGACACATAGGTTAGACAGACTACCTACCTACTTCGGGGCTAGTAACCAAACTAATCACACAGGAAATAGGGATGGATGATGGCCAGCCACATTTATAAAGAAAGGATGAGGAAAGAACTTACACCGCCAGCCTTCGCCGTCCCGACGTTATAGCTCAGCCCCGGCACGTTGCGCGGGTCGCCCATGAAGATGATGGCCTTGACGTGCTTGCCGACGTCGGCCGGCAGCGGCGCCGCCGTCCCGCTCATGCTGCTGCCGTCGGGCCCGCCGCAGAACGCGTCGTCCATGATCTGCGAGCCCTGCGAGTAGCCCACCATCACGACGGCCGTGTTCGGGCACTTCTTGGTGAAGGCCGAGACTTGGTCTACTACCGCTTTGATCCCCGCCGTCACGGAGGACCCGTAAGAGTTGCCGCCTGCTGCGGGGTCTGGGCGTGTGCATATGCGTCAGTATCGATATTGCTAGATTTGATAGTTCTAAGGGGCATGGAGTGAAGATAATGTAATGTGGAAAAGGGGGGGGGCTTTACAAACGATGGCCTCGGACGTCGTCCCGGGGTACGCTCCCTGGATCAGCTGGATCATGGCCTGCGAACTACCGAAGCCCTGGGGGACGGTGGTCTCGCGCGCGCCGATAACGTGCACCTTGGCGCAGGACTGGCGGGCTTCGATGTCGTTAGACGGGGCGGCGATGGCCCCGGATAGGAAGAGCAGGGGGGTTGAGACCTTCATCTTGATATTCCTTATTGAGACAGTTCTTGTTTCGAACAGCGAAATAGTAGAATGAAGTGAAGATCAAGTGAAGAAAAGCATAACAACAAGTATATATATGTATTAGTGCCTATGAGGGGGCGGACACCTTCCTGTGACCACGGCAGGTCGCGTTTTACCCGGATGTCATGGCCAGGCGACCATTCGATCGAAGCATCGCGATCTCCGGAAAAGGCAATATTCGGAGCCAGATCTGGGGCTTGTTATGTCTGCGAAACGCACAACCTTGCAAGGGGTGGATCGGTGGATCGTTATGTACATCATGACATGACATAGGTATACTATTCATAACAATCGCATTGCGAATTTACATGCTACAGAGCCCCTAATACTTTCGCTTCTTACTTAAACTCTAGCAACTCTTAGGAACTCGGTGTAAGTTATGACCACGATGCTGTCTATAACGCGTCCATATGAATAGCGACAACTCCATAAATGGATCTACAACCCACTACCATCCCAGGGGAGATTATATTAATAAACTAGCGAAATCTAGCTTTATAGCATACGAAATATTAACAAGGATCTTCGCTTGATGATCATAGTATGCTAGTCCCGTCCTTGTTAAAGGCTACAATTGTGTGGGGTGGATTTCCCGGTTTCAGATACGCATACATATATACAATAGAATGATACCTTACCAATGCATGCATGGCTCTTAATTAACTGAGTTGTCTGGAATCAACTGCTACCAAAGCCGACACCAACAAGTATATCTTGCTATATTAGAAATGGTTTTTAGTACCTATTTTTATTATACGGTCCTTAATGGTAGACTTCCAGCCTCGAACAAGACCAAGATACGGCAACGAATATGTATATACGGTGTAGAGTAATACCACTTTCTAGGAAAATCCATTATTAAATTAATTGCCTATGTTTTCATTTCTAGGTGGGATAATAGAATCCGCTCCCTTTCATACTATTATCTTAAATTAGCGACGGAGCGAAGGGAAAGACTTCGATGTCGTTGAAAACTACCTTATAGACTCACCTTGGTAGCATCTTTCTAATTCGTCTTTCGATTAAATAACCCTTAACCGTTCACATCCCTTCGTTTGGGTCCTTCGGCCTTCGTTGAATCTAATTCGAATTTCACGCAGAAGCCAGCGGGAAGTAGGAGAAAAGTGATAGGTACCTAAGTAATCACATTCTCATAAAAATACCTATTAGTTGTTGATGTTACGACCCCTAGTCTAAGCACATAACGCCTACTCATTCGCCTTACGATTTGACCAAGCACTACTACCTATGTAGGTATGTACACCACGAGAGGCCCGAGAGACTGTTTCTTATTTTAACTTCCCCAGGCAAAGCTGCTGATAACCACATACCTTAAGCCCCGCATGAACGCTTGGATGATCAAGGTGTGTTAAGTACTCACAAAATCTAGATATCTAACAACGACTCAAACAGGTACTGGTGAATCGGCAATAGGATAACTCAATTCCAGGGCCCGAGTAATACAACTACTATTAATCAACTCTAAAACCGACACCTTAGGCGTCTCGAACCCTAAATATTAACGAACTTAGAATACGGCACACGTTATCATCGTCCCGGGCCACGCCTCCTTAGGAAGCTCCCGTCGGGAAATGGCGGAGACTTACTTGTGGAAACCCCCCGTTTCCAAGGCGCGTGCCATTCGGGGCAACCTAAATACCTTAAAGCTACGTAGAGATAGTAGACATCCAAGGCTCGTCACCTCGTATAAGCATAGGACTCCAGGAAATTGGGAGCTTATATTATTTAGGAATTACGTTTCCGAGAGGAGGGCTGTGGACGTTCGCTGTGTATTTTTACGAGTGATAAGTTATTAGTGATTTATATTTATTTTAAGAGTGAATGACATCTACAGTATACTAATAGAGACATTCTCAAAGCCCGGTACTTTTTTTAATCCCCTATTCCGGATGACATCTACCAGAAAGCTGTAACCATAGATAATACAGAGACCCACGAGACCAGACCGGCAAAACTTCCCATCTGCTCCAGGATACCCGAAGCACTGCCTTGTAGTAGCACCGGGGTGCCTATCTTTTCCGTCTCGTCGATGCTACAAATATTAAAACAGGACTCGTCGTCCCTCTTCGACGTTGAAGAGCCGGTCGTATTGTAGACTAGTTCAATCCATTGGATCTGAAGATAAGCTTCTTTTCCCACACTCATATTGCCTGTCCAGGATCCGCCGCTGTGTAGCGTTAGTATACTGCTTTCTTGTAACAAACTTCGTACATCGCCGGTCATAAGTCGGGACCCTAACCCATAAGAAAAGCCAAGTGACAAGTCGGTCTCAAGGGATTAAGCGGGATTATATTAAAAAAAAGGTTACAAGTGGGAATAATTTTTTAAAATACGTACTCTGACCACGAGTTAAGAATGAGAAGACTGGGATCGCGAGGTGCCTGGAAGGAGATCGAGGCGACTTCGTCACCGTTAATGTACCAAGTCGTAGCTCCCGGGCTCCAATCCATCCGATACACCGCCCAGTTTGTCCAGTCTCTCTTCTTCGGGATCGTAACGTTCCGAGTGGCTTCCTGGACATCGAGGCCTAGAGAAGTATATGACGGTTGGTTTGTGTATTGGACATGATCAGGAGGGTCGATTGTTCTAATTTCCAGATCTGATTCCTGAACCTTGGTGAGATCGGTATTGTTGGCAGTATCTCTGTAGGTAAATATTGCAGTTACCGCTCCCGGCGCACCAATCGTCCTCGCATACATTCTGGCCGATAGGAAATGATAGTCTCGAACTGTAGATTCAAACTCGGATGCTGTCTGAAAGTCTTCTAAACGTGCTGTTCTCATTGTTAGGAATGTGCTTGAGTCGGCATCCGGATCATTATTCTTCTCAAAATAGACATTGTTGGGTGAATTGACCATTAGGGTTGTCGCATCGCTCACGCCACCGGATAATGAGGCTTTGTTATTCCAATTTTGTAGAGTCCAATTATCAATCCACTCATTGGTAGAGAAGTAATCGCTAGTCGGGTCGGCTTCACTACTATCATCGGGATCATCGATGAGGGCTGGCACTGTAGCATACTCAGATTTCTCCCGATAGTCAAAAAATTTATGGCTCGTAAAGTAATCTGCCCTGCTTCCATTTGTGAGAAAGCAATTGCATCTATCGTTGCTAACTTGTTGGAAAGCGGCGAGGGATAACGGGGTCAAGCTAGAGATGACCACGAATGACCGGAATAGCCTTGAGTGAACCATCATGACGCCCTTGTCTTATATCCACCTATAACCCAGCCGTGGCGTATCCAACTTGCCCGGCGCAACGATGTCCAAATTTGCGTAGGCCTGTGTTGACTTTAGAAAAGCTAAGCTTCGACTTGTAATTGAGGGCCTTCAAGATCACGTGTAATTAAAATGTCGTATATCGGAGGGAAAAAGCATCATAGAGCTGATTCGCTGCTAACAACCAAAGAGGCGAGAACTTTTGGGCTGAAGGAGAAGGGAAGGTAAGATAGAAATAATAATTGGCTCTACCATCCCCGAAAGTACACACTGAGACACGGACACAAGGATGAGATCATCCAAGGTTTTCAAGTATGGTCCCAGGCCCGAATATGAGGCTATGGTAAGGTCTTGGTGCGGAAGACGAAGCCGTTAAAACGGTGCCCTGATCGATGGTGTGAGAACGGTCCTAGGGTAACAGTACCAGATTGGGGGGAAAGGAATGCTGGATCAGCGACATACGCTATCAATGCAACACTTGAAACGTCGATACTTGTGGTTAGGTTTATTCTAGGCTATGTATGTCTGGATAATATCCGTTGGATCCCACCGTTGGATAAAAGGTGCGAATGCAACGCTGCGGATGTGTGTATTGGAGAAGGCTGTTATTGTAAAATAAAGTCAACGTTAAGCCACGATATAAGAAACAAGAAGCCACTAGCTTTCTAGGTATGATTTATTCGGAAATATACCTGTACCCATGACACCATGGCACCTAGGCTTATAAGACGGATAAGCCGAAACTGTGTTTATATTAAACTCCAAGTGAAATCAACTTTGACCATAGGTGTAGGTATGTAGGTACCTATGATAGTTGATAAGCAACTGGTAACAGGTAGAAACTACCTAGCAACTTTGGTAGTCTTGTATCGAGACGTTTGAGGATACGGAGAATAAAACTGCTAGAAACTTAAAAAAAATAAAATAAAAAAAGGAAGAAACGCGCAAGCGCTGTGCTGGTCGTTGATCTGCATACGACGAGTCAAGTTTACCTGGTGTTGAGGTAGTATTATAGGGTATCAGTTACATTGCGGTGAGTTACCCACGATATTTACAGTCCTTAGGTGTAGCAATATTTGCGATTGATTATTGGCGTAGTATTTGGTCAACCCATAGTTAAGGACGAAGGACCACCGAATATTCGTTTTAAACTCTGAACGAACAGATGAACATGCCACTCATTGGGGGCGACGTCTTCGTTTCGTCAGATTTAGAGGGCCTGGAGCGTCGAGAGTGGAGTGGGAGGCCCTATTTCTTAATGTGAGGGATGTAGGTGTGTGTTGTACAGCATACATGGGTAAATTAACCGGCCCTGTCGTATGAACCTTTTAAGCCACATTTGTTTCTGTTGTGTACAGAAATTGAAGGCGAGCTGAAAGATAGTTTATTAGCATTGTGGCTTTTCTTACTTGTTTGCCAATAGTTACTCGTATAAAAAAAATGGCGCATAGTAGCTTATATATATTAGGTACCTTAAGTAGTTAGGAGGTATGTTTATGTAAAGACTCTTTATAAGTTGTCTGATGTAACACTTTGATTTTTAGTCTTTTTATAATATTTTGCACGGATGTCGGATAGATCTGAGATAACATTGAAAATGATCGCTGGCCGGGTATGTGGATGCACGTGGATGTACGTATGTACTATGTACACTAAAGACTGGGATTAAGAGCTAAGAGTACAAATCCTTACCTAATGTAAGAAGTACTTTTTTTTTCCAATTTTTTTTTCCATCGGTGGATCATGTACGGAATTGACTACCTAAACGTACCGTTCATCCGAAGATTCCCCTTGCCGATAACCGATAAGATAATTCCAGAAGGCTCGCATTCAAGGAGCTTCGACGATACAGACGCATCAACTCATTACCTAGTAATCACCCATTTTGTACTTGGCCTCGTCTCAGAATCGATTCAATTACGGTAACCCCCCTTGCAAAGCCGCAATTGTCGTGACTCCTTAGTCAGAATGTATCCTTTTCGACTTCTCTTCATCGACTAAGTCGTAACAGCTTATAATAACATTTCAATAGAAAGGGAATAATTAAAAGAAGAGAAAAATATATATATATCAAGGCCTCAAAACATGTCAGCTTCGCCTACGTCACTTGGCTCTTCCGAAGTGGCTGCTGATCAGCCCAAGGATACCAGCGCGTCGCATGAACCCCTGTCCGACTCTCAACCGAAGTCTCAAGATGCAAATCATGGCGATCCTATACCATCCGAATCTCCTGAGCAAAGAAGCAGCGCTGCATCCGAATCATCTATAGCATCGCCTCAATCGCGAGAATCTGGCGAGGCTTCACCTGTCGCTGAGGAAAGCTCTCCTCCCTTGCCAAACGAACCGCTTCCCGCGACCGAAGATGATGGCTGGGACTTCCATTGGGATGCAACAAGTCAGGCCTATTTCTTTTACAATCGATTCACCCACGAAACCACCTGGGAAAACCCTCGGCTAGCCAATAAAGGCGCGACCGCGGACTCGACGCCGCAGGTACAGGAAAGCGCGTCTAGCGCTGTCGCTCCTGAACCGCCAAAAAACGAACAGCCACCAGCTGGAGGCTATAATCCGGCGATTCACGGCGACTACGATCCGAACGCCTGGTACGCCAAGCAAGGCGCGGAGAATGCTTCGGAACAGGATCCATCACTAGACGCGTCGGCTGCCTACGCGGCTATGGGTACATTCAACCGCTTCACCGGGCGCTGGCAAGGCGATGACCAGAATCCCGACAACCACAACGATGAAGCCAAGTCTCGTCGGCAAATGAACGCGTTCTTTGACGTTGACGCGGCTGCGAACTCGCACGACGGACGGAGTCTAAAAGCGGAGCGGTCCGGCAAGAAGCCGACTAAGGCTGAGCTCAAGCAGTTCAAAGAAAAGCGCCGCGCGAGGAAAGAAGAGAAGCGACGCGCGTGGCTAAGAGACTAGGCAGAGCCACGTGGGTTGTTGCTACGCTAGGTACCTAAGGGACTAGATAGGTATACTGAAGAGGAGGGAGGGGCGGATACCTGCATGATGCATCGAGGTCGGGGTCGCATACACGGCGTTGGTGCATACGGTTTACGTATAGGGGTCGCGTGGAAGTAGATGGTCTGTCAGGGGCCATCTTGCGTTGCATATTCGGGACGAAGATGTCTGCATTGCATTGTCTAGAGAGAGGCATCGTCACTTAGTTTGTTCTGGATTACAAGCGGCCCCGACGCGCTTGGACATATGAACCTACTGGGACAGTTACCTCTTTGTCGCATTTTTTTCCCTTAAGCTTTCGGAATATATACCCCCAAATGATAAAATCACTTCGAGACGTACTATGAGGTACGTTCTAACCTCGACGTTTAGATTGCACACACAAAACTAAGGTTCCTACCGGTTGTTCCTACATATGCCTCTGCTAATATAAATACGCCGAGTATACCGCCTATCGTAATCCGTTTCTGAAACCCAATAGCTGTCTCTATTTGCCGTAAACTTTCAAAACTGTCCGACCCGTTTCGCATTATACCGGTCTATTCTAGTATCTCTACATTGATGTCCTCCATATTCCTATTTCGTTTGCGGAGTAATTCGACTCTACCTACGAATAGAGCCTCCCAAGTAGAAATCTGGCTTCCGAAGAACTCCAAGACATAAATTACTAGGGTCTCTATCATGGATGACTACCTACATTTGCAATCTAGTAAAATCATACGGACTGCTACTCAAGACTTTTATATAGAACGGCATCCCTCCTGAGGAAGTGCCTATCTCAATATATACAATAGACTGACGACTTTGGTACCAGCTCGCGTGCGCAACACCTACCAACCCCCACGAACAACAAGCGACTTCACTTTACAAGATTACGTGGTCTCTATCCGCGACCAAGCGACTGGCGTGCCTTGCGTCTGCATGATAAGGTAATTAATATCTACTATCTAAATGTGGCCAACTCCATCTTCTCCCAAATCCTCACGTAGGTATGTTGTATATAGGGCCATGTGGGATCTTTTTATCCGGAACTAGGCGGCGAGCCCGCCAAGTTACCGAGTGCGACGTTCCAGATGACGAGTAATCGGAACAGATTCCTATTCGCCGCGTACTAATATTCCTCTGCTCCGTCGTCGTCGTCATCGTCATCGTCGTCCACATCGAGCTCCATATTCAGGTGTACACTCTCGTTATCGCTGCTGTCTTCCTCGTCTAGAGCCCCCACGCTGCCAGTCTTGGGAGCCTGGCTCGGCGGATTGATAGATGCCGGTATTGGGGCGCTGATTACCGTTGTTGCCGTCGTGTCGATCTCGACCCGTTTAGAAATGGCAATTTCAGCCTCTTCGCTCTTCCGCTTGAGTAAGTTTGTTGGCGGCGGTCGCGCGATAGTGGTACGTTCCTCTTCAGACCTGAGAACTGTCTCTAGTGGCCTCTTGGGGAGAAATAGGTCCTGAGCTTTTGCTGAGGTCTCAGCGGCTTCGGCACGGGTATGATCTGCGGGACCAGGAACAGAAGTCTCAAGTGGTTGATCGAATGAAAACTCATTCATTGAAGAATCGTCTTCTGAGGCGTCTTCAATTAGCGCCCTATCGATGTCCATGGTATCATTCCTGGGTCCTGTCGCCATGGGTCGAAAGTTGAAGCGCAATACTTCCACACTTTCGTCGTGCGGGAACCGTTGTGTAAGATAAGGCAGTATGGCTGCTGGCGTCCTACCGCTCTTGTCTCGCACCGGATGTAATATGCTTGCTACCTGTGCATCCTTAATCTGACATAAGATAGCTGTTTTGAGCATATGAGCTCGAAGTGAAGAAGGAAGAAGCTGTTGAGGTACATGACTGAAAAGAGTAGTCAAGAGTGCTGTTGCTGCTGAGACGTGTTCTGGACTTAACGAGACAGATATAGATTCGTCCTCGGCGCTGTTACCAAGAAAAGCGTCGGCATTCTGACTGACTGATTTAGATTTCATACTACTTTGAGTAGAAATAGCTGATTGCTTAGGATGTTTGAGATGACCACCAGATCCTAAAAGGTCGCGACAGCATGCCTTGATGATGAGGCTTAAGCCCTCGACGGTAAGTTTCTCCATTGTTGGCCCGCAAAGCTGAAGAATCCCTTTGGTTAGGAGGAAGGCTGTTATCCGGATTTCAGGTAGACGATAGCTAGACTCAAACATTCGCAGGAGCTGTTCAAGTGATGTTTGAGCTAGTGGCAGGAAATTTCTTCCCAGACGCTGCGTCATTACATAGAGCAATTTCATTGCAGCAAGTTGAATATCTGGGAATACTGTCCATAATTCGTCTTTCTCCTCTCTACCCACGGCTGGGTTCAGCTGAATTGATGCAGATTTCTCCTTCCCTGGAATTGATGGTATGATTGAAGATATCCTCGTAACGATATCAACTATTGCGCTAACTGGAATGATGACTATCGTTTTTGTAAAGCACCGCAGATATTCACAGATAAAATCGAGTAGACCCAGCAATCTTTCGCTACCCGCATAAATGCCAGTCCAAGGGGGCAATTGATCTGGGCTGTCACTACCGCCTTGGGGATCTTTATCGAAATCTACTCGTTGCGGTGTAGATTCTGATGGATGGCCCGACGCCGACTCCCAGTTCTCTTGGATTGCTCGAAAGACCTGATCAGCTGTAGAGTGGAATGTAGTGATTATCCCATCTAAATGTTTCGTCCATTCGGTTGAGTCTCCACCCTTTATAGCTGTCATATGTAACCTGATAATAAGACGTCTGCTGCACGCCTGTAGTGAGGCTGGAACTATTGTACCGTCCGAGACGGTTGGAGCAATATATGATCGCGACTCGACCCTAAGCTTAGAAGAAAACTGGCGCAGAGTAGTAGGGTATAGTGGAATAATAACCGAGAAACCTTCAAATATTGTCTCGACGAGACTATTAGGTGCTTTGACAACCTTGCTAGTCGCAGGGGGCTTCAAAATCTGGATACAGGCCGTTCCAAATGTAGGAAGGGTAGGTGTAACGATCTCCCGTATCAACGTCGGATAGACATGCATCAAAGTGTATATCTTCACTAGTGTCACAACACATAGATCCTTAATGACTGCTGGATCTTTTCTCTGTTTTGTTGTGAGTAGCTTTACTGATATTGTGAGGTATGAAAGCTTACTTGAAGGATAGATAGAAGTCCTCGGACCCAGGGTTCGGATGTTCGAAGACATTCCCAACCACCAGTTTCTACCACAGCTTTTACTAGCGCCACCCCTACGAAGCGGCCCTGAGAGGTTCTACTATTTAGAAGTGTAGATATCTGAGTCTTTAGCTTATGTACAAGCACTGTCGATTCAGAGGAATTATCAGACGCCTTCGCCTCATGTGGTCTTGACAGTGGTTCTTTGCAACGCAATAAGTCCCTAAGTAGAGAAGGTAGCAGAGCTGGAAGTTGTTCTACTTTTGTCGCCGTCAATCTCCGGCAGAGACTGCGCAATTCGGGGGGGAGTGCAGAAAACGCCATGGTTTGCGATTCATATAACTATTCTTAAGATTGATGAGCAGTTAGTTGAATCTGTAGATAGTTTTGGCGTATGAGTTAATTACATAGGTTTTGTATGATTGAAGTTTTTTATTGGGCAGAGAAGTATACTATAAAACCCATCGCTTAAATAATAAACAATTCATTGGTTGTTAAACAGGTGTATAACGGGATAGGAATTTCAACTCGAGCTTTTCTTCATATGAAAGCTTCATGAACTTTTTATTCTTATCGATAAACTTTTTAGCGGGTCTACCTAATCAACCTATTAATCCCACCCATCGTCCCCTTTAATTACATACCTTATTCTTTTAACAGGATCATAATATATTACCCCTTACCATGCCAAGAAATGTTTAATTTACTTGGCCGTGACGACGCAGTAGACTTAAAGACTTATTCACTTATTAGGCCCATCTACAATCATCCTGACCCCTGGGCCTACCTGTAACCAACAGTCCGAGCCATATGATATTTACAGACGTGTAACGCTGGCATTACACTATAATTAACACTCGGCCGATATGATATGCGAGAGTTCCATTAATCAATACTGCGTTTGCTCAGGCCTTGAATCGTCAGGATGAGTGTTAGTTCCCTCCCCCCTCCTATTCTCTCCTATTCCTAGCAGCCATAACATAACCATAGTTGCTCATCTAAAGTGTTATAGAAATCGGCCAAGGTAGCCCAATACGTAGCACGATTGGAAGATGCTAGGTGCGAGGGGAAATGGGACGATGTACCAGAGCTTGTGCGTAAGGTCCGCAAACATGCCACCGACAGATTATGTACGACTTTACTCCCCTACTCCCCCTACCCCCTTCTCGAAGCCATCTAATGAAATGACATTCCTATAGGCCTTACAACAACCGCCGAGACTGAGCATGCTATCATCAAAGCCTCACAGAAGAAAAACCCCGAATCGAGGCCTACTACCGCCGTTTCTGCTGAGGATCTAGATGTCGCCCAATTAGTGCCTAGATTACTTAATGCGATCGAAGTCGAGACAACTCATCTTGAAGACAAATACCAAGCGCAAGTATGTGTTGGATGGCTTTATTGGACCGTCGGGGAGTATAGCACTGCTGCTTTGAAGTTACCAGAAAATCCAGAGAGCGAGTTAGCCCAGCTCGATCAGCCAAGTAACATCTCCGAATGGTCGTGGGTATGTGCCCTCAAGGCTACATATTTAAAGGCCAATTGTCTTGCGCGAAACGACGAGAGGGTTGCGGCACTGGGCATCTTCGAATCTGCATTAACTTCCTTATCAAATGTATGGTCGGAACAGAAAGGACGGAAGCAGTTGCGGTTCTGGACTGAACTCTTCTTAACGGAATTCTGTATGCTACAAGCTCAGGCCCTGGAAAAAGGCGAAAAAACCCTCGAAGATGCCAATTCGCTAGCTCCATATCGTTCCTGGGCGAAATACTGGGAGGTGGCCAAGGCTCAAGGCACCTCCCTTGCCGGTGGCTATGGTTTCCGTGGTGCCATACCTAGAAGGAGAGTATGGAACGAATATTATGCCGCTATTTCAGGCATTCTGCAACAAGATTTACCATTCCCAACGGGCTCCGTAAGCGTCACCAACGAATCATCAGCTAGAAATCAGCTTCGGATGGAACTGAAGAAAGTCGAGGTAGCCTATGAAGGTCTCCTTCTAAGTGAAACTTCCTTTCCGCGAGCTGAAGAACAGAGACAAGAAGTGGAAGACTTCGCTGCGGCTGTGATGAGAAACTGGAGTGTACTGAGCGGGCGTGATTGGCACGAACAAGATCTCGGACCTGGTGGCAAGGAAAGCCTCAGTCGGGGAGTATTGGATATACTCTACCGAGCTGCTACCAAAACATTCCATTCTACGGCTATACTGCGGTATCTGTTTACTGTTCACCTTTCAGTCGCTGAATTTGATCTTGCCTTCCACGCCTTCGATTCCTACCTAGATATCGTCAAAAAGGGGAAAGCCCGTGTCGATAAGACGGGCCATCCGGAGCCGAGCCTTGACGACGACGCGACAGTTCTTGAAACCATTTCCCAGGCGATAACCGCTCTCTGCAAATATGGGTTCAAGGATGCTGCGGCGAAGGCACATGAGTTAGGGGTTGAATTAGAAGGAATGCTCCATAAGCTGCCAACACCGCTTCCTAGGGCGCAGGATAATATCACAACGCTAGACGAGGAGGATGGAAACGGAGTTATATTGCATCCAAGAATATCGTCTCGAGTGTATGCCTTGTCGTGGCAAGCTATCGGTATTTCACAAGCACAGTGGGCTAGAATGACGTTTGATGCATCCGTACGAACAGAAACTCAAACCAAGTCCATACGAAGCTTCCAGAAGTCCTTATCTCCGGAAAACGGAAATCCAACAGACGTCAGGACCCTATTCACCCTCGGTCTATTACTAGCTGAGCAACGAGAACTGACGGCAGCCATTGACATTGTTAGGGCTGCACTCATGTCCAGTGGGAAAGCAGGAGAGCAATCCGTTGGGTCTGGATCATACTGGCGAGAACGCTCTTTGATACCCTTGTGGCACCTCCTTGCGCTCCTTCTAAGTGCTAGACAAGATTTTATCATGGCCGCTAGGGCTTGTGAGGGGGCCTTTGAGCAGTTTGACGACCCGACAGTCCTATTTGGCTCTCAAAATCTTCAAGGTGCGTTCCGAAGCGAACATCTTAACGAGGTGGAAGCTCGCAATGAGAAGGACGACGGAAGGGGACTCGTCGATGAAATGGACGATCTCGAGAAAGAAAGCATGATTGAAGTAAAGATGACACAACTCGCCCTTCTAGAACTATTAGAAGGACCAGAAGTTGCGGTAAACGCAAGTCACGAATTATTAGTCCTATACACAAGACTGTTTGGCGAATTTCAACCAAGGCCGCCGGCTACAACCCAGAAAGCGACAATGGAAGTCCCCAAAAGTTCTGCTGGCACAGTCAAAAGCATACGCGGTAGCATTTTTGGTAATAAGGCTGAAAGAACATCCCGTAATCTCAGAAATATCACTCCCGCAGAGAGCGGCACGTCTACCGTCTTACCGGAGAGGCCTCAAACTACCCAGACATCCATTAGCACTGCCACCACCTCCAACACCAACGCTAACGCCAACGCTACCGCGGCTCCTGCCATACATGTCACCAAGGAGAATGGTGAAACCAGTGAGGGCCGACGGTCTAGGAGATCGTCGAGCGCCCGTGGACGTAGCGATTCAACAAGGCGAAACAGCTTGAAGAAACGAGAACCGAGCGCCCAGCCGCGACGGGCCTCTACTAGCTCAGGCCCGCCCCGAGCCCCGACTGTTGTAGATGGTGAGGATTTCTATACATCGATGCCGGATGGAGCAACACAAGAACGAGTAGACTTCTTCGCATCGAATAACACAAACGACATATCCAGACAACAGTCGTTTTCCAAAGGTCGTGGACTACTTCGATTCAATTCTACGGCTTCTTCAACCAAGGGCTCTGCAAATGGATCTGATAGTTTAGTTCTTGATTCACTTTCATCGCCCAATCCATTACCCACAGTGCAATTTCCGAAAGAACAAGTCAGACGACAGAGGCAGACTATACTTGTAAAAGTATGGTTGATGATCGGTGCATTTTACCGTCGTGCTAAAATGTATGGCGATGCCAAGGGCGCCATTAGCGAGGCGAGAAAATTGGTAGACGGTTTAGAAAGTGAGGTCGCCAAGGACACGAGCGGCTCTATGGCGCTACGGGATCCTGGCTGGGGAGGGAAAAGATCTGTTGAGGAGCTCTGGGGTGATATTCAGAGCGAGGTATGAAATTGAATGACCCCTAAATGTTTTATTTTTTTGCTAACAAAATGTAGTTGGGCTATCTCGCAATCTCCGAAGGCACCCCTTACGTGGCGAGGGACTACTTTGAAGAAGCTCTAATGTACTACCCAGACCACCCTTCAGCAATTGTTGGATTATCCAACATCCTCCTCGACATATACAGCGAAGCGCTTTTGCCGCCTCCTGCTATCCCTAGCATTGTTCTACCAGATGGCCAAGAGACAAATCTAATATCAACTAGCCCTAGCCCTCGAAAGCCTCACTCAAAAGTTGACATTCCGACGCTTCCATCAACACCACTAGGGCTCGGAGGTTGTATGGCTGATATCGTAGACTCACCGTCGGATAAATCAGCTGCTATTGAATTAGACGGACCTTCGATAGAGGAGCTTCCAGCCCCTTATGAAGCTGTTTCCTTGCCTCTTGTCGATCGACTTGCTGCTCGAGATAGAGCTTATGGGCTACTATCAGGACTCACTAAATTAGGCACAGGATGGAATTATTCCGATGCATGGTTTGCCTTGGCTAGGGCACATGAAGACAGTGGACAACTGGACAAAGCCAAAGAAGTACTTTGGTGGTGTGTTGAACTCGAGGAAGGGATGGGTGTCCGCGAATGGAATTGTGTTAGCGCCAATGGCTACGTGCTGTAAGCGAACAAAACAACGAGACCATCTAATCACCAAAACGAAGATTACTTGTTCGATAGACAGGTCATACGTATAAATTTGTACACACAAAATTGGCGACCAATGGGAATTCGACGGAGTTACTAGTGTGTGCATCAGGCTTGTTTATGTTGTGGATGCCATTTCGGTTCGCGTCATCTTTTTGGCTGCTTTAACACAACAAATTTCATATAGCTCTTTTCCCTAGACCGGGATTGATACCCTTTCGTGGCGAATTTTTCATGCTTAGAAATACTAATGATATATAGACTCAATTCAAAAGTTGTTCCCTGGTCAAAGTTTGAATCTTTGTTAATTTGAGCTTAGTTCCTTACTATCACTCGACAAGTGTCAATTCAAATTCCAGCATGATTCCGGTAACCAAATAGCAGGTCTATATTATAGGGTTCACAATAATAAACTGGAGATCTTAAGACAGAACCTAGGACTGGGGATTAATAATAATAAACAGCTAAGATGTCTAACTAGAACCATAATATTTAGCCCACCGGACCTCATCGGTGTTAGGAATGGCAAAGTCGGCTCGTCTTCGAAGCTAATTCCTCCCCAGGTTTCCAATCTTCTATTAGTTCCACATCTAACGTCCTCATACTCACGTCATGGCCTGACCCAGCAGAAGGAAAAGCGATCCATATATGAGCCCAACTCTCTGGGTGCGATCCAAGTCTAGTTGGGCCAAGACTCAGGATCGATACTTTGAGTTTACGTTACCAGGAGTCACCTTGTTCCAGTAATGAAGTTATACAGGTGATGATTTCATATACCTATCTTAACCTACAAACAAGCTTTGACGGATGTCGCGGAAGACTATCCATAATTAATAATAGTCCTCACCGATGTCTTGCCCGTGGGAGTTGATCTTCAACACCTAGCACCCGCTGTCTTGGACGGTTCCTGGCAGTGTCTTGGCTGCCCTTGCCACGGGAATGGCGACGAACAACTGGGTCGATTAGTCTAGATGTCTAAAGAATGTATGCTTATTATACAGACTCTCCACACACGCCAACTATAACCTCCTAGATACCATTGGAGGTATTGAACCATTCCATCATTAACTTTATGTACTTTGCGTAGAGTCGCGTCATAGTACAGTTGTTTATTGTACATTGGCGTGGTAGAGGTCCCTGCACGCACGCCCTTGCGATGGCATATCGTTGTCGTCAATATTGAACTCAAAATGTTTCTATATACTATTGCAAGGGAGCAGGTTATACGCTACACGTTCGAGGCCCTAGCTTCGGGAGGGCTATAAGAAGCTCATTTATCCCCCCCCCATATTCACCTATAATTTTTCTGTATCTCAATATCCATTCCCAGTCTTCTACAAACAGATCAATACTATACTACACATTCATACATTACTATCAATATGCAAGTCACCAAATCTCTCCTAGCAGTCTTTCTGCTCCTCGGCTCCAACGCCTTAGCCGCTCCTACAGCCGCGGATGCAGTTGTACCTCTCGATGAGCGCACTGCCCTTGAGGTTAGTCCCTTCCCCCCTTCCCCCAAGCTCTCATATAACCATACTAACACTACTTGTCAAGGCTAGAGAAGGCCCTGGCTACCACGGAGAGGGCGGCAACGAGGATGACCTTAAATACAAAGCTTCGTGGCGCGGAGGGCACCACTGGGGCGGGGATCACGGCCATTACCCGCCACACAACGAGCATGGGGGCATGGACGGCAAGGATAAGGACCATGAGCACTCTCAGCCGTGGCCGCGAGAGGGAGAGCATAAGGGAGAGCACAAGGGAGAACACAAGGGTAAACACCACGGAGAAGAGGGTGGTTACGGCGGCGGTTACGGTGGACACGGTGGTGGATACGGTGGCGGTTATGGCGGTGGTTACGGTGGCGGACGCGGTGGTGGTTGGGGCGGGAAAGGAGAGAAGAGAAGCGAGGGTAAAGGTGAGGGTGGCGGGGAGTACGGCAACCATGGTGAAAACGGGTATGGTGGTGGTGGTTGGGAGTAAATTAAGGCGATAATTGTATGAGTGTATGATTGAGGGTCACTGGGAAAACTGGAAAACTGGAAAATCAAAATGGGATTAAGGACGGCTTGGGTGGGATGATTGATGAAGGATATGCCATGGTCATGGTTACTTTTTAACTATATGTACATTAATGTTTCGATTCTGTAACGGATTTTCAAATTATTTCTCTTCTATAAAATACTCATCTTTGATCGTTGGAGTGTGAGATGACTTGGTAAATTGTATAAAGTGTTTACATTGAGTTGTCGAATATAAATGTAGGACTTGAAGTTATTAGTTATTTAATATTGGAAGTTAAAAGAATACTCCCCATAGTCAGTTATTCACATATAAAGTTTGACATATGTATTAAAGCCTACACATACACATTCAAGATGTACTTTATTAAAATAGTCCCGCGGCTAAAAGGCACGTACATCCATATATGCATGTCATATTTCCACTAGCGCCCTTTCCCGTCGCTATATATGTAGGTACCTAACGTATAAAAACGATCTCTTATAGGTACCTGCATTAGGCATTTCTTCGTTTCGAAATGGCAAGGGGAAGGAAATGCTACCTCAGGATGGCGAGTTAGGCAGTTGCGCATTACATCGAGTTACACGAGATCTACACGGGAAAGTATAGGGGGGTGGGTATCCTACCTTACCATTGACCTTACCACCTTACCTTAGGTAGGTTAGGAGGTATCCAGGTATATTAGGTAAGTTTAGGTGCAACCATAAAGTTCCCACTATAAATCCCTAGCCACGTGATGCCCAAGAGAACATCACTCCTCCCTCTTGTGCAGTGTTCTTTCTCTGCTGGTGAAACAACGCAAGTATTGCGAAACAAGCTTATACGGTGCCAACTGCCTGCTTTGTGTCCTTCTTCTTACCTTACACGTGTAGTACGCCATGGAATCTCAATAACACAAACTTGCATTTTCTTATAACCACTGTTGTAAATTTTCTCTGGATAAAAATCTTTTCTAGACCCCCTCCCCCCCTTTTTTAAAAAAAAAACTATTTAGAGGAACAAATTAAAGAAATACAACACTTATAGACAAGATGGCTCCCTTTGGAACAAAAACAGATGCCCCAGACTCCCTAATAAGCGCTGATGACGGCCGCAAATACTGGTCCGGCATCGATCCTGACGTCAACGGCATGTTGGGCGGGTACCCTGCCGTCTCGCGCGTCGACTTAAGAGGCTCGCGAAGCTTCTTGGCTAAACTTGGCTTGGGCCGTACCAAGGGCGTCAAGGCTGTAAATAGGGCGATGGAGGGTGGTGCAGGGTAAGTATTTCTACTTGTTGGTTGGCTGTCTTTGTTGTTTATGTTGACTATATCCTCCCCTTACTTGGCCCCTTTTCTGATATTTTCTATTTTTATTGCTTTTCCATATTTTCTTGTTTCGCGGTCTTAATCCCACCTCCCTATAATGTAAATGTCTCTACGCCGCGCGCATACGTAGAAGTTATAATAAGAATATTGTGGCAGTGCGAGGGGCTGCGGGATGCACGCACGGGTGCGAGGCGTATATGTATACCTAATATAAGGTATATATAACAAGTAACTAATAATGGCCGCAGTATTGGACGCATAACGCAAGGGCTACTTCTCGACGTTGCAGAGACAGTCGACATCGTCGAGCCCATCGCCAAGTTCACAGATGCGCTCGAGGGCCACCCGGGAGTAGGCCAGATCCACAACGTTGGGCTTGAGGAGTGGCGGCCTGACGATGATGCTGAATACGACCTCATCTGGAACCAGTGGTGTCTTGGTCACCTGACCGACCAGCAGCTTGAAGAATTCTTAAGACGATGTAGCGCCGTGCTCAGTGTAGGCGACGACGGGAAGACGAAAGGGGTCATCGTGGTAAAGGAGAACCTGAGTGCGTCTGAAGAGGACTTGTTTGACTCGGAGGATAGTAGTGTTACAAGGTAAGTGTCTTCTGGTGGGCGTATTTAAAGTGTTGTTTCGTTACATTCCTTCAATTTTCCATGGACAAGTAAGCACCGTAACTAATAAATGGTGCTATATCATAGACGTGACGAGACATTCAGGCGCATTTTTGAGGAGGCAGGATTACGCATAGTTAGGACAGAGATACAGCACGGGTTCCCTCACGAGCTATACCCTGTTCGAATGTACGCATTGAAGCCTAATAAAGCTAATAAATGAGTAAAATATCTTAATAGTCCTTTTATAATAAAGCCTTAGTAATGTTGATTTCTTCATTTCTTCTCGTTGATCACATGTAAGAGCTACATATGTGAACATGATAAAATTCTTATATTTCTTATTACCTACGCCCATTTATTTATGTTGTCAATCCCAACTTAGACCGGCCTATCGTCTTCCAAAACTCAAGACTCCGGATCCACCGCCTTGTTCAGCTTGAATAAGAAAGGATCCACCCCCTTAACACCGACATCAACCCTAAATAGTGCACCACTAAGTTCAACCTCTTCGGGAGTTCCCTCACCCTCCTGCATTCCCGCCGTCGTAATAAACAGCTCCGTACCGACGAACTGGGTGCACGTGGTGTTCTTGGTAGGCAGCCTAATCTCACCAATAAGCTTTCCCTCAGGCGAGATCTTCAATACACGGCTCTCGCCGTAAACAGCCTGCCATAAGTTCCCCTCGACATCGACACGGAAGCCATCAGGCTCACCGGGACCGTCGTGCAAGTAAAATGCGCGCTCGCGAGACACCTCGCCGGAGCTCTGGTCGTAGTCGTACGCGTAGATGATGCGCTCGGTCGAGTGCGTGAAGTACAAGGTCTTGCCGTCCGGGGACCAGCCGACCGAGTTCGGGATAGTGACCGGGTGCCGCATGGACCGCGCCGTGCGCGTGCCGTCGAAGAGGAACACGGAGCCTGGGATAGAGACGGAATTGGTTAGTTTCGCCAAGTTGTGCCTTGCCGCGCATAACATAGGTAACATAACATCATGTAAACGTCGTGTTGTCTGATACCCCACGTCGATCTTACAACAACAATAGTAAAGTAAAAGTAGCACTACCACCTCCGCGCGTGCATCTACAGACTAGACTCGTTCCGTCTTCCCGTTTTTTTTCCCCTTTTCTTTTGCTGTCCCTCTTTCTGCACGCCCCTCTTTCGCCCGCTCATCCATGCACGTACATACATACATACATGGCGTAGCACTGCAAACTGCAACGTATATCACAGGACATATAATAGCCCCGGCCGTGCTTGTTAACCGGGCTGCCGGAGACAACCTCCGGCCACGAGCATTACATAATTGAGACGCTTGCCGGGAAAAGAGTAGAAAATGATATAACGGGAAGTTTTCAGGGCTGATTTCCCTTTTCAGAAGTTCATGCGCGGGGACGGTCTTAGGACAACATCCCGAGCCATGTCCTTGAGGGCACAGGAAATGGGACGAGGCTCGGTTCCGCCTTCCCTTCCCCATCTACCCCTCTTCGGTGTAAGCATCACGAGGGGACGAGTGCCGGGGGAGAAAAAGAAGAAAATAAGGGAGAGAAGTAAAAGGAGGACTTGGGAAAAAAGTAACGGGACTAGATAGAAATAATAATAATAATAGTAGGGACGAGAGCAAAAAACCTAAGCTCACCTTCGGGCTGCAAGTCGTAGCCGAAATCAGACATAGTACCGAGCCAGAAGCGTCCATGAGGATCAACTGCGCCGTCGTTGCTGCGCAGGCGCTCGTTGTCCTTGTCGGCGCTGAACCGCGTAATATACTCGTAAGCGCCGGAGCGGCGATCCAACACGGCGAGGCCGTACTTGACGCCGATGAGGATGCGCTCGCGCGGGTCGACGCCCTCGATATCCGCCGTGACGGTCACGGGGACGTCGAGTTGGATAGTCTCGACGCCGGCGGCGGGGGAGGCCGAGCTCGTCGGATCCACGTTGGGGTTCGGGTTGGGGTACGGGATCTTAGCAAGGTCCACGGTATGCACCCGCTTCTTCTTGATGTCGACGAACCGCAGGCTGTGAGTCGACTCCTCGTAGTACGGGCCCTCGCCTAACCCGCACCGGAGATGTAAGTACGGCTCCGTGACTTGCCATTGCTGTGGCTTGGCTTCGACAGCGGCGGACATATTGAATCTCCCTATCTCCGTTCTTTTTTTTCTTTTTTCGGGGTATTGAGTTTCCCGGGCCCGGAGCGTAGATAAGAAAGAAACCCCTTGTTTATTTGTTTGTTTGCTTGCTTGCTCGCTTTGACGCAATAATTGGTGGCGCGGATGCAGCGTGTTAGCAGATATCCAATGTCTCGGATATCAAGTAAGGGATTGTGAACTTGACTTCCCAAGACGATGGAAGCTTTAGGACGGCAGGGCGGCAGGGCGGCAGGGCGGCAGGGCGGGACTCGGATTCGGAATCGGATGTCTCAACTAGGTAGTTACCTTAGTTAGTTACCTAAGTTAGTTGGTTTAACTACCTGTTCTTTGACGATCTAGGCTTTAAACCTATTGTTAGTGGCTCGTAGAGTTTCCCACGTTATACAATGCAGCATCCACGAGAACCAACGACTAAGATTCTTTATCACTTTAACTTTTCGAGGCTTCAAGAACTATAGGCCAAGTAAAAAGGACATAAATAAATAAAAGGGTTTTTTTTTTTTTTTGCGTCATGATAAAAACCTATCAGACATTATCATGCATTCTACGAAATACGGGATATGGAATACGGAAAATACGGGCCTGATAGCCGTGAATTGAGGCCGAAGTCTTCTTCAATCTAAGAGTTTGGCTTTCGGTGGCTTTCGGTCGAACCGTGCCGACGTTGATTTATCTTCTGCCGGCTATTTCTCAAGGCCATTCCTTTCCTTCGCTTGACGGATGGATATGACCCGTTGTCGAATGCGACGTATAGGTAGCTGCAGATAAATCACTTATAACAGTGTGCTATACCTAGAACGTAACGCTATCTTACGTTATTCCAAGAATGAGACGGAATGAACAAGCGAGAACTTCATATATAAAACATATCGCATCCTACTCGAGCTGGCTTAGTTGCATATAAATTAATAAAAATGTCAAAATAGCCTTTCTACACCTAGGAAAGGTAGTAGAAAAATTCAATACTAGGTACTATCCGGTTCCCCTGACCGAGACCCTTCAACTTTGAGTTTTCCTCCCTGCGCCAACAAGGCGCGAGGCATCGAATGGAGAATACAGCATGAATACTCATGGGCGAAATAGGAAATAGACACGCAGCCACGCGAATATTTGTAGAATAACTTACTAGTAGTTTTCGCGAAGTGGTCCCAACGAAGGAACAATTGCCTAAAATAGCGACTATAGACGGGCGGGTTTATGACCCGAAACTATGTACAAGCTGCATTTAGAGAGGGTTGGTGACCGCTTCTTACGAATAACGTGGATACACGACAGCAAGGTGGCGTGGAAGAAGCTATTTGGTTGTAGATAGAGAAACTGGGGAAACGCATCATAGGTGCAGCTAAAAGTGAGGCAAGGTATGTAAGGTATGCAAGTGGAAACTTGTCGGTGTAGAACATCGTGAGTGAACGGATCTCCCCTTGTGACCACTGGCAAGCCCGCTAGTTCTGTTCAGGAGAGCCTCAGCTCCTAGACGCATCGTATGCATGAAAGATGCACCCTATTAGGAACCTGTCAGGAGCCTGTCAGGAGCCTGTCAAGCGGTCACGTCTTGTCCGTAAAAAACTAGTAGACCTGGGGACGTGGACTCGTTGGCCGACTGGATGGATCTTGGCCAAGGCCGTTCTAGCTGAGCGGACTAGAACAAACGAAGCGGTCGAAATTGTACATAAGCTGGATTCGAGCCGTTCCGCGGCTAAGCCACAAGCCGCCAAATTGACGAACCACATGATCATAGATTGATGCGCGTAAGTTTCTTTCCAGGGAGTTCTTCCAGGGAGTCTTCCAGAACAAAGTCCCACATCCTATCTAGGATTAAAAAGAAAAGGGAGATGAGAAAATAACAATAGGCACTGTCTATTATGAAGCTAGAGGGTAATAAATGACGCGCGAGGGAGCTCCACTTGACTTCTGTAATTATGTACGATGGTTGGCTGTACACCACCAAATCCTTGCTCAAGCTCAACGGGCTGAATGGGGTCGTGATTGATCGATGTCGCTCTCTAAGCTTCGTAATAATAGCTCAAAGAGGGCAGATCCCCGTGCGGTATGTTTGGTAGCGATTATCTTCGACAATCTACGTATCACTGCATCGGCACTGACGCTGATGATAATAATGACGATATTATATGAGTACGTACTTTATACATAGTAGTAGCACAAGAACGTTGCTTAGCTGTGGGGGTACTGTCTTAGACGCGATGAGGCACATTAGCCATGTGTCGATAAGACATGAGGAAGAGCGTCAGAGTCCGTGGGAGTCATGGCTGATGCTACATAATATGTATCGTTATAATATATGTATGCATTTCTACTGCACATATAATGCGCACATAAAAGTCCACAAGAGGAAATCCGGTTACGCAAGTGGATTGGTGGCTCACCGCTGATGCTAATGTCGCCTGGGATAGCGATCATCTGCGTCTGTATGTGTATATATGTGTTATATGTGTATGGCGCTTGTTTATTCGCACTTCGACCGGCCAGACTATCGAAATCCATAGCCATAGTATGGCGACAAAAGTGACAGGTAATTTTTGTGTTGCATTGTAAAAGCCTTGGAAGCTGGGGCTAAACTGGTCACGAAGCCGTTTTGTAATGGGTAACACGTACTGTAATGTAATGTTTTGATCCCTGTTCCCCGAGCTTGCAGGATGCAGTTTATTAGCTGCAGCTGTGCTCTGCATGCCATACAGGATACATTTTCCAGAATCTGATGAGAATCTCCAAGGGAGGCACGCGAAAAACGGCCCCCCAATTCAATCTCCAGATCCAGGTATGGACCACTCGGCAGTCCAGGCTCCTGGGTAACTTAAATAACGGCCCAGGGTTCGTTGTCTATTTTCTCAACATCCCATAGACGAGGCGTACATATATCGTATTAATATCAGCGTAATGGATGAGTAAGTATCTACGCAAAATCAATAGTCTTTCCAGTAGCACGTTTTTACAGGTACTTACTGAGGTAAATTAGGTACTTCTGTACCTAATGTAGGTAGCTACATTTATTAGTGTACCTGGTTAGCTGATATTCGTAAGACGATTTTGGCACGTCGTGATAGATATTGTGGAATTATCACGTATAAATCCACAAGAGGACTTCTCTCAATCAGAGGAAGAGGTATCACGTATCAAATATTTGGCTGAGTCTGACATGCGCTTTAGGTACTGGGTAGGTATTTTGAAGCGCGAGCCACCAATATCAGAACTGATGTCGTATGATTGAAGCAACTCGGAACTTGGGTCCTCCATAGATAGTTCGTGGCGGAAGGTCGTCATTCTTCCCGCTTGTGGCGTATGAATCATTTTCTTGACTATGTACCACTGGTAAATTAAGTCCGGGTTAGATTAAAGCAATGATGCTATCTTAAGCTACCAGGTTGTTCGAGCAGTCATACAAAGTTTAATGCAGCGCACTGTGCTTATGACCCTGATAAATGTTGGTCTCGACTCAGGTGAAGTATCGTTGAGAGTTGAGAAAAGTGACAGGTAACAAAGCATTCTTTGCAGAAGGCCAATTTAATGAGGTGAGATAATCTCAACTGACCCGGTGGCGGAACATGCAGATTACTTCATTCCACGATGCCTTGGTCCCTGTTCCTGCATTGGATGCAGACAGGCCATCGTATTCTCCGACTGTGCGAGAAAACCAGGGGAAGAGACATTAAAAAGTAAATTAGAACCAGGAACGATGCCATCCGAAATATGATGTTGCGACGTTATTTCTTTCGTCGTGTTAGGGTCTTATTTCCTTTATGCCCTAGGGAATTGACTACCTTGTAGATTATCATCGATAGGACTGTTACTACGATGTGATTGATCAACAGTTGACTTGTCTCGAAATGGGAGAATGCAACACAACCTATTGATGGTCTGAGTAGTAAGAATATCAGCTATCAATAACTAAGTTGTATGTGGTGGTACGAAATCGCGATAGTTATCCACAGATCTGCTTCTGCCAAGTCTTTGTTTTTCCTTTTTTTATGTTGAGGCGTTATATTCCATGGCAACTACTGACGAAAGCCGGACACCCACGTTGCCCGTTGCCACGAGGTTTCAAAAAATAAAACCGCCTTGTTTCGTTTGGTAATTATGTATTCGGTTCGGAATTACAAGACATAAGCCACTCAGCCCATCTCTTGCGACTAGGCCCGAGATGGTTTAGGGTGTGGCTTCCTATCCAGGCTGCTGGGTTGAGAGTGTCGACAGAGGATCCTTGCGCTTACGGGCTGCCAAACAAAATGCTGTAATTTCGCGCGAAAAGACTTTTTCAGTCTATGTGGTATGCGGTGCGTATAGTGCGTTCCTTTGGCCGCATAGAGGGCCGCAGATGGGCAGGGCCTATTTGATACCCTACTCTACGTGGTATGCATGTATGTATATACATACGCATGACAACCGGGACCAGATGGTGGTCTCATCACACGGCGGGAACATGAACCATGCCATGCTGATTGCAGAACTTGCAGGTCCCCATACATCATAGATGGACTAGCACATACATGGCACATATGCAGAAGCAAAATGCCGTGGCCCGCGAGCCCGAGTCCCGGAATACGCAACACGTACACTAGTGGGCGGCGCTTGTCGACTTTTGCCCTGTTAGAACGCGGGTACTCTTTCGTCAAGTTCCTTTTTCCTTAACTTAGTGGTGCTTTTGCAGATTCGGGCAGCCATTAAGATGCCAAGGGAGACCCCCTGGCATGATTACCAAGTTGAGTGTGACAATAGCATAGTCCCTTGCCGTCCGGCTTACCGCCCAGAAAGAAAACGAGATGAAGCAATAGGCAGTACCGTGGACGGCTATGGGGGTTAAAATCGATGAGAAGCCGGTATTCTCGTGTCGGACGGTCGATGTGACAGTCTAAATATATGAGCTGTTGTGTTGTCTTGTGGATGTTTGAATTCTTCACTTCTCAGCCAGGGACATGTGTACGATATGTACGATGTATAATGCTCTCCAGGTTAGTATGCAAGTATGTAGGCTCTAAGGCATCGTGCCCCGCAACTGGTCGACTAGCAGAAGCTACGTATGTACAGAGCAGCTGGCTGTCCGTGTGCGTCGGCGATCCTTCTGCGGCCTGTTGGTCATGCTGACATGGCCGGCATACTGGTGGCTTCGGTCATTATTACTTGAGACATGGCTCTGGCGGTTGGGCTGGAATCCAACGGGACCGCACGTTGGTACCTGATCGCTTGATCGTTTGATCTACCACTGTACCTCCTACTGGACGTACCGTACAATGTAGATTGATATGTATGTAGATGTGTACATAGGTAGATATGTAGGTCTAAGAAGTCAGAGGTGGGAGAAAACTGCATGTAGGTCAGCGGCGAAGAGTCGGAAGGATGCGAAAGAGAAAAAAAAAAAAGGTTCAATAATGTCAGACCCACGAAGTTAAATGTTCTTTACTCGGTATCGGTTCTAAGTGTTGTAGTACATATAAGTAACAAGTACAGGAGTCTCGCATGTGGAGGGGAGTATATACGAAGTATATGATACATTTTGACGTATTTACATATCTAATGTATACATCCAGTCTACATACCTGTAATGTACCTCATATATACTAATATACTTACATTAATACATGAGATGCATTATGTATTTCGTCCTATTCCCGTTCTATGGTAAGGTTCGGCTTACATACATGCATACACCTAAGCTACGGTAGGTGCTATCTTGGCCATTGGAAGGCTATCCAAACTTGCTGGGTATAGGTTAGGAAGGCTGGACGGTTAAGGAGGGTCCTTCCCGCATTCCGCGGGCGTGGGCCAGCCATAAAAAAAAAAACCAAACTATCAAAAACCCATCAAACCCATCAAGGCGTCGCTGGCGGATTTGCGGATTCGCGCTAGTAATTTAGTAATTCACTTGTACGTAGTTAGGTAGTATGCCGCTATTCTTCTCTTCTACCCATTTTTATTATTCTGACATACATATACACATACATACACATACATACACATATATACGTACATAAACATACGTACATCTCGCCATAGATGTAGCCATACCCTGGAACCTACCTAGGACCTACTTGTGGCCTAAACTGGGCTTGCATGTCCCAATTAGCTACATCTCAACTTATCCTTGACTACATGTATCGTCACTTTCTCTTTGCCAGCCGGTCTCGTTAAGCCTAACCTGGCCTAGCTCACCTCTTGAGCTAAAGGAGTGAAGCCCTCCGCTTCGTCACCACTAGACAGCAAGCTGCGGTACTGACCGCCAATCTTCCTAGTTGATCTCAGTTGTCCCATTGTCCCATTGTTCCAGCATACTGCTACAGCATATTACCAGTATCCTACCAGTATCCTACCAGCCTACCTACCTGCTACTACGCAGTATTGCTACGTATGTAGACGGGGTATTTTCGTTCCAGCAATGCTTGACCAGTTGGCATCGGTATGAGCGCCGGTATTGCAACACGTACAATTCATAAATCCATGCTTGCTGCAGAAAAGTAGTAACGGCAGTGGCAGTTGCTGGAGCTTGCTCGAGTGACCGCTTATTATTGATTTTGGACCCGAGGGGCCAACTGACGTTTTCTTGGCTGCCACGGTTTGCTATGTCGATCATTTCCAGCCAAAGATATTCTTAGGGGAAGGGTTTGGAACGAGCGGAGTCTTTACCCGCCCACCTAGTCGACCCTCCAGCCCTCTAAACCCTTAAGCAACTACAGCAACTCCACCGGAGATCTCCATTTGTGAACCCATCCTCTTCGTGACGAGCCGTGATGACCCGTGACCTATCAGAGGGAGAGAAACCCTAGTTCTGTCCCTTCTAGTATGCTTTGCGCTGGCTTACAGGACTGACGGGACATGCAGCAAATCTAGTAATACTACTACTCGCGGGCGACGATGACCCTCATCCGCCGCGGTGTCAGTCTCTAATAGCACGAAGAAAAGTAGCACCGACATGCTGAGCTAAACTAATCCCAGCGCCCTGCGTTATGGCCTGGTCGCCCGTACTCTAATTTAATAAATCTTTTTTGAGAGCTCACCGAAGAGTGCGACCGCTGAAATATACTGCCGGTAAGAGCCTCAAGTTTATACAAGACGATCTAAGGTTGGATGGTCCGAGTCAGATGAACGTCTATCTAGCGTACTCGTAGTTTCGAGTGGACAAGGCCATGGGGCTGCTCTGTCAGCTTCTTGAACAATTCCCGGTTGACACCTCATGTTTCGCATGTCCTCCAAGCTGCATGTGTCAGACATCAGTGTAGGGCTGGCTGCTTAGCTCTCAGCTCGTTAAGCTTTCGAACATTCTAAAGAGCCTTAAGCGATTCCTTAACAGACGCCCTAGTCTCAAGATCCTCATCATTCCCACAACTTACTGAAACTGTTAAAAAAGGAACATAGGACGGGATGTTCCTGGTTCATACTGCCCCCAAAGTATGGGTGTCAACTCTTAAGCCCTGCCGGTGCTCAGCACCAACGATACTGAACATGGCCCCCCTGGAACACCTCCTGCACCCCGGCCGCTTGTTCCAAACCATCCCCATGTTGGGCTCCACTCCTTCTATTCTGCCCTGTCTAGTTTAACTTGTCTGATGATAAGAGCAGGCATGGAGCTTGGGTTCCAGGCCAAGAGACTGAAAAGAAGAAGAGAAAAATCGAATACTAGACGCAGCTTTACTCGTGGTAACTAGTACAACTTGCTCTTAAACTATTCAGAATGCTTACAGCTGCTATCGTTCTCTTCCTTCCTTCCGAGAAGTCATACTAACCTGTCTGAGTACTTTGCCAGTGGGCAAGTGCTGAGCTTACTGCATCCGATACAACAGCTTAGTTGTCGGTGAATTGACGCATGCGCGGTGGGAACGCTACAAAGTCGAGTCCCGCCTATTCTTTTTGGTTAGATACGATATTCTTTTATACCATTCTCCTACTTGTACGTAACCCATCCGAAGCATACCATCATCTCCTTACGACCACGACCGTAGCTGTTTGTCTGCCCATTCAGGCCCCAGTGCTGCTCTAGCGTTGGTCGACGTCTCGACCATTCACTGCTGCAGGGCTTTTGTCAGGTTGCCAATGATTCCGCTCTGCTACATCTCATCATCATTGGCTACCATCGCTTTTTTTTGTTCCTCACTTCCCGTTGGGCAACAGCTGATATACATCCACTAATTCCAGCCGCCACATATCTGGAAATATTTCTTCCCAGAATCCTCACCACTATCCATTTGCTTCTACCTTAAGTAACGACTTCTGAACCGGACCCGGGTTTTACTACCTTAACCTTGCGAGGACAACCTTTGACTCGGAGTAGAGGAGTATCTTGAAGCCACCGCATATATAGCTTGAGAGTTGATCGAATATTCGTCGGAAGCTGGGAGCGGCCTCGAATATCCATCACAACATATACGCCTTGGATACCAGAGAGCAACTTATATATAGTCATTATATTTGTCTGCGCAACTACTCTAGTGACGGGTACAGCACAATCCGAGCCGTCGTCACCTTCTACAATTTCTACACCAAGAATCTGTTCAGCAATCTGTCGCCGTGGCGGTCCAAAATATTAACGTTCGCCAACCCTCCCAACCGCCCTCTACCCGTCCGCTTGGAAACGGGAACGTAGGATCTCACACGAATCGTCTGAGCAGCCTTGAGCAAGCGGACGGCGAATCTGGTGGGGCGAGACTAGATAGTAACGAGGCAAGATCGGAAATCAAGCGGTATCAATTCGCGTCTGATAGAGGCGGTCAATGTCTGGCTCCTCTGGGCCACCCGTTCGGAAGGGACCTGGATCCGATGTCGCAGAGGGACCCTGCGTCACGATCTGCTTCACCTCGGATATCCAAATCTCCTCCGGCAGGCACGAGCACGTCGCCAAATTCACAACAGTCGGATCCTCGGAGACTTAGTAACCAGCCAGTCAGCAACGGGTCATTGGAGAGCGGTGGCATTTCTCGAACTAATGGAGATCTAGCGCAGTCGTTACCCCAGAGGGGCTTTGGTGTGCGGAATATCTTAAATCCAACGGAAACACATCCATCACCGACTGGGACTACCTCTTCCGCGGCATCTGGACCATCCGGAGCACGTCTGCATCCGAGTCCAAATATACAAGGCTCTACGTTTGAATCTAGTCCAACCGCCTCGCGGCCCTTCATGTATCAGAATCATGGGATGACGAGCCAGCAGCAAAATCAAGCGGCTGGAGGTCTACCTCCACAGGGACCCCCACCGGCTGACCGCGGCTCGCCTGCATCAATACACTCCCATCGAGAAATTTTGGGGGCAACTCGACGAATATTGACCCCAAGGTCTCCCCGGGGTAGTGCCGCGGGTCATATACCACCACCTCAAGTGCTAAATACTCCTCAATCTCATTACTATCCTGCTCCTCCCCCCGCGTCAAACCGAGGCTATCCAACTGAGTCTCCTGTAGGGCAACACGCTCAATCACCGCGAATTAATGGTCCCCAGCCTCTAGGTCCTCAGTACGGAAGAGTTCACCCATCTGGAGTTGGTCCTCCGACCACTTTGGCTCCGTTAACAACACCACCGCCTCGATCCCTTTCTCAACCAATCGCAAGCCAGTTTAATCCTCCCGGGCACGAACCACAGCAGACACAAGGAAGTGCCGGTAACCATATGAGACCTCATATGTATGGGCAGACCCCGCCGTACTCGACGGGAGTTCCACCCAGTGCACGTTTTCCGCCACCTTCTCTTCCAATGGGCGATTCAAGATGGTCAAGCATACTTGGAAGTGCGGGTCAGGTGGGTTCGCCGGGCGTTCGGGGTATGATGAGCATGGATGGGCATGCGGCAATGAATGTAGGTGGAGAACCCTTGATTGTCCCCTTAGACATGTACAATGGGTCAAAACAAGCCGACGAGAAACGACAGAGAAACGCGGGTGCTTCCGCAAGGTTCCGAGCCAGGAAGAAGGACAAGGAAATACAACAAGGGATGAGGATACAGGAGCTGGAGAGTCAAAACCGCGAACTTCAAAAGCGGCAACAGGAAGCAGAGAATGAACGGGACAGGTACCGTAGTGATCGAGATCGACTTCGCGATATCGTCTATCGAACTCCTGGAATTAGCGAGCTTGCCTACCAAGGGCCTCCTAGTCCCATCTCGACAAGGAGTGGTGGCTCTTTCGCAGAAAGGAGTCCACTCGCCTCTAATCAGCCTACACTACCAATGCCTTCTTATGGAGGTGCCGATCCTGTGACGGGTGAAAGGGCGGCACGACGACGCCGGACGGATCCTCAACTCGAGAGCTATAGCCCATCCTATAGCATGGCTCAGACCAATTTGCCATCAATGTCCCAACCTGTGCATACACCTTTATCACAACCGGGAACTCCTTCGTCTATGGCTCGGACCTCGCGACTACCTCCTTTACGGTTGGATCAACCGGCTGGAACTCCAAGCAGCGGGCCGCCTACTTCAGGCACTCCGGTGCAGAGCTTCCCACCATACAAGCGGGAGCCGTACGAAACCGGTTGGGCGACACGATCCAGTGCGCCACATGATCCAAGCCAGCGTTAAAACACGAATTTCACATTTTCAATCATCGGTCGCTACCCTACTTTCGTTTTATGAAGCAAATATTTTATTATATACTTAGTTTTTAATATCAACTCCTCGCACGAAAAGCGAGGTAGAAACCTCAGGGTCCTGCATATCATTTAAGCATTGGACAAAAACGGTCATTAGAGATTTTCGCATAGTTCGGGCAACCGACATTTCGGGCGGGAAGGGAAGAAAAAAAAAAGCTTCATAATGTTGTCGCTTATACATGGTTTAGGTGTCAGGAACAAGTGCAATTTGCTTTTATCAGCCACAGGTTTACGGGTCCCCAGTACCGAGCTGTGCACCAAATATGCCTCCCCTCCGTTTCTACCTTTCTTTTGTCCTGTCTGTTTGCGACGTACACAGGTTCATCTCCATCATTTTGCTGGGAATTGGGTATTGGGGGTTTTGGGTTCTCATGTATCTCTTATTGATTTTTGGAGTTTGTTATTAAGGAAACGCGGGAGTAATGGTGTCTTGGGTTTTAAATTGGTTTCCTTTCTCTTGGGCGTCTACTACACGATACCAAATTGCGAATTACCAGACTGCAGAAACTTGCCTGTATTCAATCCATCTTGGATACTCTAAATACCCAGCTGATCCCGTCTACACAAGTTGGCATATGATGAGGAGCGGATATAGGGGAAAAGGCTAATATTTTTTACGGACCTTAGGGTTCTACATCTACATTATGGGAGGGGTACTGTTCAACGGAGTCCAAAAATTTAGGGAGATAAAGACGGATATTAGCAAACTTGACGAGTTGTGGAAAGAAACGGTATAGAATTGCACCGTTGCCTGCTTTAGGAAAGGGGGAGAAAGGGGATGAAAGTAAGCGGCTAAACTAGAGGTTAATACTCCAGATCAACAAGATCCAACCAAAGAATCCTAGCATAAGTCAAGCCTAGTAGTGAAACATAGACGTGCTGTGACACGAGGCGGACGTTGGTCGAGTCAGAAAAGACGAATAGACGCAATGGTGTATCCGAATGAGACGTGAGACTATGTAACTAGGTATGTAACATGCAAAGCCATCCAAAGCCATCCGGAATATGGAAAGTATGGAAAGTAAACAGACCATTGCGTGTAACCTTATTAGACTACCCTAATATCCCTAATATCTACCAGCAGATGACGACTGGACGGAAACCCTTGCTAGCTTACATCAAGTTCCAGATCTCGATAACTCGTCTATTAGCCAAGGACGGTAGAGTCGTAGCACTTAATAATGTCTGCTTACATGCTTTGGACCGCATCTCTCCAGTCACGATGGACGATTCCCTCCCCCAGCCACCGACTTTGCCCTTTAAGCCGTGATAGGCGTATCTTGAGAGGATTAGAACGGGGGGGAAACGCCTTGGACTAGTTGTAGTTGGTCCTTTTATTAGCGCGTCTGGCAATCCAATCCGCGTCTCTAGATGGATTCGTAGAGGCCTTCTTACTTGTTATACGTCAGCGCCGTTTCCCCCCTTCTCCTCCCCCCTCCCCCCCCTCGGTATCGCTGCCGAGAAGCAAAGCACGTACATCACATCCGCGTCATCCCATATATGCATACACTACTGCTCGTTCGCTGCTTGGCTAAACTCTATTCGAACGAACCTTTGGCCAGCCCTTCTTTATTCCCGTTTCTGCTTTCTATCTAGTCTCTATGCTCATTTCTTTTTCCTCCGTCGTTAGTTACCTGTCAGTCAGATAAGTCAAGTCAAGTCAAGTCAAGTCACCTGTGCCGTATTCCCACCTTCATGGAACTACCCGCCCCTCGTCCTAATTAGTATCGTATCTGGCGCCCAATGGCTTAGTCTTGCTGCATCATGTATGTAGGATATATTTATTTGCAGATCAGGGTTCGGGGCCCGGGTACGTAGGCCACATGGCACGGCCTTCGCCGCTTTGCAGCAGATGGTCTGTAGGCGGATGGGCTCTTGTTGGTATGTCGGTAGGTAGGTAGGTGGCACTGCGGCCGGCGTGTTCCTGTCAGATAGGCTAGGTAGTGATTTTCGTCGTCTTGTCTTTCCCCTCTGTGAGTCATCATCTCTCTTCCCGTATGTATGTAGGTATGTAGGTATGTATGTATGTCTACGCTTTTCTCTTTCTCTGCCTCTGCGTATGTAGCCTCCTCGGTTCTCTTTACAGCGGGGGATGCAGTCCGGCCTCACCGTTAGGTATGTATGTATGTATGTATGTAAAGTATGGTTATGGTATGTATGATAATCGATGTGTGTAGGGTTACCTACTTGCTTACCTACCTACTTGGCTACCTTTCTACCTACATACATACATCAACACGTACATACATACATACCTACATACAACTGAAACGACTCCATCTAGGATCCATTACGGGGCCCCATCTCCCTAGCTGTATTTCATGTGGTCGAGCCAGAAAAGGCAAAGATAGGCCTAGTACCAAGAGTGCCGGTCGATCAACAAATACCGGAGGATTTTTCTGGGGCGAATTAGAGGTTGGGGATGGAGGCATAAGGGACCCGAAACATGCGGCCTAGAACCGCTGATCCGTTACGGGAGCAACCAGAATGCTCTTCTTGCGTCTAAATTTGCCGTCTCGACTTTCACTAGTTTCTATTCTCTATCACCACGACCTTGGCTATAGCCTCTGGTTGGCCCGCGCCGGTCCGATTAGATAATGTTGCCCCTATCTACATACCTATCTATCTATATAGTTGAATTGCAACTGTCGTGCTGAGCCTCGGTCCGTTAAAAGTAAACAAAGGAGAAAAGACACCGAGCAAAATTTTGAATTCTCACATTTCGCAACCACTGCGGACAAATACATCTTTCATTCATCTCTAATAATGTACAAGAGCGGGGCAAGGCTTCGGTGTCTAGGCAAGGCATGTAGGATTCATGAGGCCCCAATTCAAACCTCTCATTCCTACCGTTCGAGACCGAGCTGTGGTTGTATTGATGATGCTCTACGCTTCACCGTTAAAACTTGCCCTTTTGTCTACCGGCAGGAGGAGAAGCAGGCGGCGGAACCGGGACGACCATATGGTAACAATCCTTCTATCTACAGGCTGTCATACGTAGTAGTTGTGGGAGAGAAAGAGGTAGAGAGGGTAAAAAAAAAAAAAAAAAAAAAAAAATACTCCCATTAATTTTTCTCCTCACTTTCTTGCCCTCCTTTTGATATTATTACCCCACGAATATTCCCCGAGCTTGGCTTTTTCTACACCGCAAGTTCGAATCTCGATAGGTAGAAAGTCCTAGGTGATGTACCGGCAGCCCCGGTAGTTAGGCATCAATTGTTCATCGTCGTTGGTCCGCCGCGCTGGTGCTGGTTGGTATATTCATTTCGTATTGAAGCGGTGGTGGTTGTCTGTAATGAGGAGGCAAGCAGGCAGGCAAGCATATGGCGTGAGAGGTGTGCCGGCTCAGCCCGATCTAAAAGATAGGTCGACAATAACACGTCACATTCATCTGCGAGGATTGCTAATCTCGCGTCTTGAAAACCCGGATCGATGACGATGACCCTTGTCTATTTCGTTCGAAGGGCGACAAGTGCGGCACTATACTACAATACTCTACACTAGCCTAGGTACTTAATGTATGTACGTAAGTGTTGTGATGGAGATGATGAGGATATGAGGAGGAGGATGAGGATGAGGATGAGGATGCATCCGGGACATTGGTGGACGGTTTTCTTGGGGCGAGATCGCTAGTCGAGACGGAGTGGCCGATGCTGACGAATGGAGCGCTGCCCAACACATGCACGAAGAGAGGATCGACAATGCCGTCGGCACGAAGTTGATGTCGAGCAGGGTATATACAGATATATAGATATACAGATATTAGCGGCTGATGCAGGTTTGCGACGACACCCTCAATCACTCGTGACTCGTGTCCCAATTTGTTACTTTGGAATTCATGACGAGCATGTCGATCTAAGTATTAGTCTTATCACTCCATACATCACATCACTACTCCGTATGAGGTACTTGAATGCGCTGTATTATTCTGTATTATTCTGTATTATTCTGTATTATTCTAGCCCTCTCGAGCTCGGCCCCTATCCCTCAAAAATTTGAATATGTAACAAAGCAGTTGATTTCTTAAGCAATTTGGAAGAAGTATAGATTTAGGATCATGAACAATTAGCTTGGTCTAATGCAACATGTGTACATGTTGTATGTGCTTAGTGCGGGTCTGTGGAGAATATATATGCCCATTTTGACGATCAATTTCGATGATTTACTTCTAGTGTCGTTAACTTTAGGTAACTAGGGGAGTACCACAGTTCTATTATTCTCCAGTGCGAATGTAGTTGATTAAGACTACCCCTTTACCTCTGAGTGTCGTACACATATATAATACAGTCTTGGGTCTGGATAGCAGCAACAATATTTAGTTCTAGATGGCCTATGCAGCGAAGATCATGTAAATACAGGTCAGTTACTCAGATTTAATTAGATTGTATGCAGTATAAGTCTAACTTAATTAATGACAAGTATGCCTGGTGAGGTTAGGGCTATAAGAAAGCAAACCTACGCTCGGCATCAAGACAAGAAACGATGCAATGACCATCACCGACAATATCCACCTATATACTTCTAACTATTAACTTGCCATGAATAGATTATATAATATATTGGAAAAATACATGTAAAATTCCCATTAGCTATGCCATCATCCGAGGACCTATTATATTCTACGCTCAAGAGCCAAACAAAGGAGACCTACTCGACATTACCAATAGAAGTACTTAGGCGTACGGTAGTAAATCCAGCATTGCTCACGCAACTCCTAAACCCTTTAACCCAGCCCATTAACTTAATACATATTGCACGCAAATTATCCGTCTAGATTCCAACTCCACTACAACCAGAATGCGCGGCCCTGATAGACCAACGGACGGCCCCCTATGTACGTATGTGTGTCCTATGAGAATATACCTTGTACTTTGCTACACTTCTCTGCATTGTGATTTATGTTCGTTATATAGCAGCCGGTCTTCAACG